TGAAATAAGGTGGTCGCCAAAACATCCTGATAAAGCATGATAATATTCTACAAGTAGGTATGGAGAAGACAATACAATATCCCTTTCAACATCATTGTCAAAGTCAACAGCCCCTGACAGTCCTTTGCTCCAGTAAATATATAAATATATATATAGTCCACTATGAAGTCTCATCTACGTAAAATAATATGCCATAATCTCTAAGTTTGGCAGGCGGATTGGAGATTGAAGTTTTTAAAAGAATTGCTTTCCGATCTCGCACGTTCCTCAGTCAGCTCCTTCGATACCCGTGAGATGACGAGGTGGTGATAAAAGTATTGTACTTGTCAGGTATCTCCTTTTATCGGTCATTTATGACGAAAAATACGATAATTCTCGCATAGAAATAGTCTTGTAAGAAATATCTCTAGTACAGTTTATTTTGTTTTTAAATTCAAAGCTTAAAGCCATCGAAGTGATTGCGCCTTTGCACAATATTTTATCGAATAAAAATACTTTTTCTTCTTCGAATGCACTCTAAGGAGATTAAAAACGTTCTAGAATTCTCCAATACTTTCAAATTGGAATGTATTTTTCAAATATTTTAAGTACTCAAATTGACGCTTTCCAGATTTGATTTTAAAATACGAATTGGATGTTCTAATGCTAACGGTTATTTTTAAAAGCTTTTAAATTGTATTTCACGAATTTTTTTCCTTGTATTTCAATTAAGTTGAATTTCGTATGTATTAATAAATGACAATTGTACACAGAATATAAATTATTATAAGGTGTATTAACAGCTTTACTCTTTTCGCGGGTGATTTTCATCTACCTACGAACTGACGAAAAGTCGATTCAAAAAAATATTAAACAAAGCGAAACAACTGAATTGCAGAAATATGCAAATGGGCTACAAGGCAGAAATTTAACATGTCAATGTTTGAAGCGAACGATGAGATCTATGTTTCCTAAATGACTACTCTGAGAAAAAATGCCGAAACAAATTCAGAGGTTCGTCTCTTTTAAAGTGAATCAAATTGAAATAAAATTGAAATACTCACACACTCGTACCACAATGTGCAACTCGCAAATGAAAGCAAATTTAATTACCTATTAATGGTAATGAGTTAATGACTGTGTGTTGCCATTATTACCCATTAATTTGAGCAACAATTAAATCGAGGATTTAATGTAGGATTTATTTTTAAGTGGCAACATTTTGTGGCGTTGGTGATATTTCATGTATACGACTCTGTGCGATGTGTGTTTATCATCGGAGTATTTTAAATATATTACTATTTATAAATAGCAATACACCTAATTATTCTCTTAAAGAGAAGGAACGTAATTAAGAATAAGAGAAGCGATAATGTTACAATGAAGCTTTTAAAAATGCTATTTTACTCGACCGGACACAAATGTAGCTTAACCTTTGAGAAATTTAACAATATTGAGTCGCAAATTGAAGTTATAATAAACTAGTGGTTAATATTTAAAGTATTTTAGTATGGCAGCCCATCTATTGTGGTGGATCAAATACAGTTTAATGTTAAATAGACGAACAGCAGAATCTTAGAAATGGGTTTCTGTTTACCCAAAATCTAAAAACCCGTAATACAATTCCTCTAATACAAAATTAATGTGAAAAAAATGTGAAAGAGCCATGCTTCGGCAAGAATGGGCCTGCTCGACCGGTGTGATACCACGGCCTCACAGAAAACCAACGTTTCGTCGTGTGAGTGAGGGTACACGAGGCCCATCCCCCCAATCTCAAATTCCTAATCCCCAAAAGGCCCGTAATGCATTTGTAACCTCTGGTGTTTCGTGTGTCTGGTGAAGCCGATTGTTTACCATCAGGTGATCCGTTGGCTGGTTTACCGGCTTATCCTATAAAGAAATATTCAAGTAACATCACACACACATCACCATCACAGTATCGATTGTAACATGTATTATATGTGTCCATTTTCCTTCGATATTCAATATAGTATCGTCCATTTTCTATATAGTTGCAGCGGATATTGGACAATTCTAGGTTTCAAGGTAAGTGCTAGACTTACAATGAAACACTGACCTTTATTGACTTGCAGTAAGTACTAGGTAGGTTCACCTTGCTCCGTCTAGCTTTTGTTTTGAATGTTACTACTAGTTTCTGGAAAATTATCGTGTATTTTATGAAGGTATTATAATTGTAAGTAGTAGATATTCGATTGTTTTGTTATTTAGGTAGATTTTGAGATATAGTTTAATTAGGTAGGTTTTCTACAAATCTAAATAAAATCTTTCAAATTTTTAGTACAATGAAATATACTGCACGGTGGCTGGGCAACCGGCTACCGTGTAACGTGTCGCGGGTTCGATTCCCGCACGGAACAACTTTTTGTGTGATCCACTAATTATTGTTTCAGGTCTGGGTGTTATTGTGTATGTGAACATTTATGTTTGTAAACGCACCCACGGCACAGGAGAAAATCCTAAAGCGGGACAACGTTTAAAAAAAAATTAAAATAATTGTACTTTCATTCGTTGCTATAATTTTTAAACATTTATAGCTAATTTTGTTAAAATAAGTAGGCTTGACGCAAGAATTTGATGAGGTCATACGTTCCAATATTCATAATTAAATAAAATTAATAGAAAAGTAAGGATTTTGAGATATCGATAAAAGTATTTATAGTTGGCAACTATCTTATTTTATGATACGCGTTAGAACATTCGAGTTTTGCAACATTTAAAGTAATTGTACAGACTTAGAATTACTTAATATCCTAAATAAATATCAGATATAAGTCCAAAATCTCCAGATCCGTCTAAGTTTAGCTACAAAAATTAAAAAAATAATGAAAGTAGGATTATTTTTAGTATTTTATTGTATTGAAAAATCGTCTCTCGTTTTATTATCGAAAAAGAGGTACATTGGAATCTATGAATTAAATTCAGATAATCAATCCCTCTGGCAAGCGTGGATGTTATGGTAAACCTCCATGTAGAGGAGATAAGGGTATAACCTGGGAGTCTTCAAGGCCCGAGTGCTTATGGGACGAGACGTGCTCCATCGTAGACCGCGTCATCGCTAACCACCAGACGAGATAGTGGTCAAACGTCGGTCCATCAAATATATATATATGTATATATAAAAAGGGGTGAACAATCCAGGAGTGAACAGTAATAGTCTGTTGATGTAAGGTAATAACTGCCCAAGATTGTGATGATAATACAGATGAGAGGACTTGTTTGACCTCCAAGAGATAGAAGATTATTGAATTGTTTAGAATACCTATTGAAATTTGACCTCTGAAATTGTTATGATTTGAAACTATGATGTCAATGTTAGAGCCCCTCAAATATAGATTCAATTGTATTTAATCTATATTAAACTGTCAAACACCAAGCGGTCACCGGTGACCGCAACTTATTGTTCTATAATTGTGTTTACAAAACCGGTACTCGACGAGTTAAATAGAATTTGATAAAAATATCGTCAAAGTCGTTGAAGATGTTGTTTTTTTTAACTTACGTCATTCGATCCGTTCAAGCTGTCTGATCGAGAGATAGAACCAATTAACCAATAATCAAAGTCTTGTCAGTAATAACTAGTATAACTACAGGAAAAAGGTGGCAGAAAGACAAAATCCTCCTTTTAAAGAAAAGACGTCATTCGCGACATTTTCCTTAACAAAAAAAGGCGCAAGCCCACACCTAAACAAGAATTCCGGTCACATTTTTTTAATAAAATCTCACTAGTTATCCTCGCGCGGCATCGCCCGAATGGTCAAAAAAACATAAATCTATACTAAAATATTGTGAAGCTGAAGAGTTTGACTGTTTATTATAACGCGTTAATCTCTGAAACTACTGGATCTAATTGAATAAGTCTTTTGTGTTGGATAGTCCATTCATTGAGGAAGGCTATGGTCTATTTAACATTAACACGTTAACCGCCGCCTAGGTCATCGGTGACCTACGTTAGCGGAGGATTTGCTTTCAACAGTTTTGTGTCAGCAGTCAAAGGCTTAAGCTACAATCAAGAAGAGCTAAGCAGCCGACAATCCGCACGGGAGTAGCTAATCATATCTGAAATCTTTCTCCAGTATTTCTCTATCTATTGTTGAAAACCGCACAAGAATCAGTCCAATGGTTTTTGAGATTTTTGCTTTCATACAGATGCTAGTGAAGACTTCTTTTTATTTTATATGTACCTAAGGATTTCTCCCAAATTTTTCAATGCGCAGAGGACATTTTTTCAATCAGGATCAATAAGGCCATAGCATAAAATACGCGGTAATCGAATAACTGGGCCGTTCATTAAACCTATTCGATTAATTTCGTATCGATTACAATAATCGGAATCGTATTATCTTTTTCATTCGAATACAATGAGTTCAATCGAATTCAATGTTCATTCGTATAATATTAATTTCGTTTCGTGATTGATTCTCAAATATTTTTGTTTATATTATTCCGTTTGTTTCACTGTTTGAGTTAATTTTGGAAATTGATTAATTTGTGTGATGATTGCGCACTCGAATTATTAATTAATGTTCTTTTATTTACCTTTGAGCGATGGCATAAAATATGCCATTATTGTTTTTATATTTGATTTTCTTAAAAATAAAATATTACGACGTAAATTGTGGCAAAATGAAATAACAATTAGAGAAAAGTATAGGCACACAAGAACTTAATAAATATTCTGGATTACAAATTGATAATAGATATAATAATTATTTGTGTTTGTTTACGCATTATACGAAATGCGATAAGTAAATATACGCATCTGCGTTGCGTATAAACTAAAAACACGCTGCAAAATATGAAGATTTCATAAAAATAAATATTGTTAACAATAATACAAATTATAAAAGCTTACAATACTTTAAAAATCTATATATTTTACGCATTTAATTAAAATAAACACGTTTAACGCGGCTAATAAACGTTTCATCGAAAAAATCGTTTAAAAAACGTCTACGCAATAAAAACACAAATAAAAGTGATATTAAAAAATATGTATTCACCTGTTAGCAGCAGTTACTCGCCCACCTGATGCCACAAATACTCTCCTTGCAATAAAAAAATACGCGGCGTCAATAAATTACAATAAATCGTCCAAAAAGTCCAAAAATCAACGACAAGGAAGACTGAATTATTGTCTGTGTCTTAAAAAAAATAATCCACGTCAAAAGTTCATATCTGACGCGCGTTCGAAAATGGAAGTCGGTATTCGGATTTCAAAATTATTGTCCGTTTTTATGAGAAATGGCGGGAAGGAGACGTACGCTCGGCTTGGTGTCGAGGGTTAGACTGAAATGTGGGCAGAATACAGGGGCTGTAGCTACATGAGTCTATGAGTGGGTGTTTTTAGAGGAGGACAGCGAGATTGTAACATAATATGTTAGAAAGAGACATGTATAAAGTCGTAGGGAGAGCTCCGTCACGTACAAAGCTCTGCGTGCCAGGAAGAATTTGTAGGCGTTCATAATTGTACCTTTGATTGAGGTTTCCGAATTTAATAAGTTGTCTTAGTCGACACTTTGTCATTTACATCGACTGCATGTCTATCAGAAATAGTTTGGATCTAAACTTAGCGAATTAAAAGCTTCGATTAACTATGAGGACGAAAATTGAACGGTATCTTTCATAAATGGTATTTGGACACCAAAAATCACCAATATTTTTAAAATCTTCTATATGCGAAAATAAAATATAGCCTTATGGACATATAACTGTTTCTAAGCTAAAATACGGTAGGCAAGGTCAGCCTCAGAACGACTGACCATTCCTCGAAACCCTTACACCTTTCTATCCTTAAATAGTACGTACATACATACGTACGTAAAATCCTTAATCTATGAGACGAACAATCTATTGTATATAGTTCTTGCAAATACTAAATATTGGTTTTCGTTCTGTATATAGTATTTCATACGTTTCCTATTTACCTAGATGACGTCATTCATTTTAATCTCTGAATGAGTTGGTCGTAGTACAAATATAATATGTAGAAAGAGTAACTGTTACCCAATAATCTATACATACAATCTTAATACATATATCTAATGAAATCGTAAGAAAGTCAAAACTATACATTCAATATTTTTTTAATGAATACTTGGGACGTGATATGCAATCGATATCGATGTTAAGAATGTAAAATTTGTCTGTTTGCCTGTATGTATGTTTGTGCTAAACTCAATAAGTACTGCATGGATTTACTTCAAATTTTGTATGAATACTACTTATAGACCTGGTCAACATATAGGCTTCATATTATGACGCTATAACCTACGGAGGAGGAGCTGTGAAGAACTATCCAAAGTAACTATTCTACGTCTGTCGCAGGGTCAGCTAATGCTTTGCATAAAAATACTAGGCATCAAACCAAAGATCATTTGCCGGACAGTCGCTATGATGACCAATTTATAAACAAGGTAGATTGCCTCGATGGCCGAGTGGTCGCAACTGCGACTACCGGGCAAGGGGTCTCGGGTTCAATTCCCGGATCGGGCAAAGTATTATTGGGTTTTTAAAAAAATCGCAGTGGTAGCACGGAGTCTGGGAATGTGCCCGGTATAATTATGGCAATAGGCTCACCCCCTATTACATGGGACTCATAACATCAATAGTGAAAAATGGGTGTTACTTCTGTGTGCACCTCTGTCTACCCCTTCGGAGATAAAAGGCGTGATGTTATGTATGTATGTATGTATGTAGAAAGTAGTCCATAATTATAATGTATTCACCATTTATAATTAAGAAATCAAACCGTTTGATATTTCAGCAACTGATTTCATGAAGACAGCCTACAATAATGAAATTCGATATTCTTGAATCGGAAACGAGTGTTACATTTAGTTCCAGCCGTTTTCAGTTTTACTTCAATACAATGCTTTCAGAACATTGTAAGTTTATGAAGTTTATTTTGATAGAGTATTCTGTTACTTGAAACTTATAGTTTAAACTTACAGTATCTTTTACTTACCTTGTTAAAATGACATTTTATTAATAAATTGTTAAATTAAGATCTACAGTTTAATTTATAGTGTTGTTTTTAGTTTTATTTAAAGTTAGTAGTGTTATTTATGACGTAAGAGCCGACTAATAGCCTAAATTCAGTTTAGTTTTTTTCGACTTCATTTATATTAAGTTTTATGTTTAACTTCAAAAACTGAAATCCATCCAAAGATTTTAAAATGAGTGTATTCCTTTTTTAAAAGCCGATAAAAAAAATAAAAATGAAAAAGAAAGAAGAAAATATCCATTTATTATGCCACGACACCGTACACACACGTAGACAAGAATACAGGTACACACAAAAAGTCCATGGTGCGTCGCAGAGCAAAAGCCGGAGCTCAGCCTAATACTACGGCCCGGGCACGTACGCTCGAGTTCACGGCGCTGATTTTCAGCACGGGCCCGTATGCCTGTACATAATTATCCGCTTACGGTGACGCTGCTCGGAGCACACCATAATAATAACCTATCTATCTATCTATATATAAAAATAAGAATGAATTTCCATTCGTTAGTCTCGCTAAAACTTGAGAACGGCGAACCGATTTGGCTAATTTTGGTTTTCAACTGTTTGTGGAAGTCAAGGAAGGTTTAAAAGGTGAGAAAAAAATGTTATACAGTACGAAATTTGTCGGGGCAACTAGTAAAAGATTAAAATAAACTATAAAGCACCTTTGACTCCTCTGTTGTTGCGGGTGTCCTTGGGCAGCGCTGATCGCTTACCATCAAGTGATGTGTATGCTGATTTGAAAATAAATAGAATAAAAATTAGTTATTTTTACCTTCAGCCACAAGGGACTATACTTTTGACAATAGCACTTTCTAATAAACCCAAGTCTTAGAAAATATTATATCCAACTTATTTGCCCAGCTGCAGGTTATGGCAAGCCCTTTTAAGTAGAGGAGGCACATAGTCCGGCTATGGAGTATCACGGATTGTGGGACTATGAGTAAATCCGCAGGCAACAACTAGTTCTTGTACATCACAGTGTGTATTCGTATCTTGGATTGATGACAATAGGGACTACCCTATTATCTACAAAGACAGTGTATGAAAATTAATAATTGTAGGGTTGCTGGTTGTGAAATTAAAGCCTCGGTGTTCTTGATGATTATTTATTTATTGGCAACTTCACTGTTACATAAATTTACTATAAACTAATCAAGATAGTTGCAACCCTAAGTGGAGGGATGAAAGGGACTGCGTGGCTATCGTCTTTCAGACCTCCCCTAGTTGGCTAATTCCTGAAGACCGCTAGGCTATCGAACTGGCATTAGCCGTACTTAGGTTCAGAGAAGGCTGCGTGGCTACCGAACTCTGATCCTCTAGCTAGTAGAATGATGATTTGTTCGAAGACAAGTCTGCTTATAAAGGCGGATGATTTGTATGTGTGTAATCTTCATAATAAGTAGATATTTGTAGTTGTGGTGGTTTTGAATAAATTGTACTAGAAGGTGCTGGGTGTTCGTTACAAAATGTAATCAGTCCGTCAGTTAGGTGATGAAAAAATATTAGACACATATTTTTTTCTGTTATATAAGAAAATAATACTTAGATAAAACAGCGTTAAACTGTCAAACACCAAGCGGTCACCGGTGACCGCAACCTATTGTTCTACCTCTATAATTGTGTCTATAATGACGGTACTCGACGAGTTAAGTTTAGGTGTAGGAGGTCTTTACGTCACGGTACCTAAAATCTAGTAAATCGTGACGTCACACGATATTTCAAATCAATATATTGTCGAAAGTATTTAATTTTGTAAGAAAATAAAAAATATGTGTCTAAAATAATCTAAAAATCGTCTTTTAAATAATCTACCAGACGGACATTAAAATGAAATGTAGGATACTATCCTACTTTCAAATCTTCGATTAAAAACTAAAGTCATTATTTTAATTTGTACGTTTTAATGAAATAGTTAACCAACTTATAAGAAATGTATATGTTAGCAGCTTAAGTATTATGTACTCGTATAATGTTAGATCAAATTTTATTAGTTTTATAACAGACGTTCGGACAAGTCCAGACTTGTCTAAGTTTTGAAAGTCAAACGTAATTACATCTTGATTTTTAAAGTTACTTTTTAGGTCTACACATAACTTTGTTTTGTTCTTGAATTTTTGGCTTTTTTAGTGTTTGTGGATGTAGAAGGTAGATAATAAACTTTTTAATAATATACTTAAATAATATAATATTATGAATAAATATATATACCTTAAAATTAACTAAAACTAAAACAGCGAATAAAAAAAGATATTAAAAGACAAACCGAAATTCCATCAGGTAGGCGTCAATGAACTCGTCCGCATCACTGTCGCTGGGGAACGTGCCCAGAAGACTGGCAGCATTGTCACGTTGAATCATGGCAATGCTTATTTTTTGTCCAAAGGTCAAAGCCCAAGCACAAGCCAGCCCTCTGGTCAAGAGTAGAGTCAATTAGCCTACGGGCAGTTTCTTCAGAAACCGTATGTAGCCCTATGGCCCAAGTGTTTTGACCCCAGTGTTTTAGTTATAAAAATATATTTATCAATGTCTTAAGACTGTGTCTTATTACATTTTTGTAACATGCAGGCGTTTACATACCTACACATTATTTTTACATTCACATCACACCTAGATCCAGAACAACAATTTGTGGTATCTATAAACAATTGATTCGTGCGGGAATTTACTCCTCAACACCAGGCACAACAGCCGGTTTTCCAAACATATTTTTTTAAGGGAGAAAATCATTGAACCACTGCTTCCGCCTGGGTGAGGCGGGAGGGAGTGTCAGACTCACTGACTAAAAACTATCCCGTTCCTCCTCCTGCATTTCGAGCCGGAGCTCCGGTAACCCGTTAGGTTCTCCGCCACTCCGGATCGGCATCAGCCCCTTTCCAAAACATATTGCCTTGCCAACCACCGTGCAGTCAAAATTGTACCTATTTCATTATCTTCATCAACTATAATATCTACTTTATCACACATTAAAACTTTAATTATCACAGTTATTAGTATAATAGGGTAGATGCCTAATTTTTATTGTAATGTCCGTCTGGTAGATTATTTTAAATCATTAGACACGTATTTTTTATTTTCATACAGAAACGAATACATTCGACGATATTGATTGGAAACGTCGCGTGACGTCACTTCTATGTACATTTTATATACGTAGAAATGACGTTTTAGCGCCCACTCCTAACCTTTGATTCGTTTTATCTAAGTATTGTTTTATTATACGACGAAATAAAAAAATACGTGTCGTATATTTTTCAATTACCT